AGGCCTGGGCAGAATTCATCTATGATAGCATCTCCAAAAAATTATGTATAGGGACTGGGCACGGTATTTGTCATGCCATCGTTGCCACGAGCATGATCGTCATGACTTCAAGTAGGAAGACTCGTTAAGGAGAGCCTTATGGGCGTTGCCCTAGGCCCTTAGTTCCTTGGATTAACACACCCCTGGGACTTCCTGAAGCTAAATCGGGCTTCAATGGCGCTAATGCAGGAACTGACGACGGATAATGGGAGCCATCAGGGTAAAACGTAGGGCTCTGGATCATGGTATCCCTCGGAGTGCTGATACAGTGGCATACTCTTGTCAACCCTCGAGATACAGACTATTGCACGTACAATTTGTCATCGCAGAGAATGCAAAAATAGACTTCCCCACTGAGGACGTTTCAAAACGACACATTGTTTCAACATGCTATTGAAGACTTAAAGTTATGCTGCTGAAGTAGGGGCTGATCAGTGCTAATGGAGAGTGGATTTCTTCGGGGAGGACTGGCGGAACCAGTGGTTCAGTTCTGACGCAAGCATGCAAACAAGGCTGTTAGAGCGCTGTGATAACTGCTAACCAACGGCTGAGCTGTGAAACCTCATGCTAATTTGCTATTCTACTGGGATGATGGTGCTTCTGCAGCATGGACAATGTGCATGACTTGCCAGTGGCGATAAGCAGTGTGATGATCTCGAGGCTAACTTGGATCTTCTCTACGCTGATCCTATTTCATCACAATGCACACCAGAAAAAAAAAGCAAGATAGAATGACTGCCCAAGCTAGCACACTGAGATCCGAAGTGCATATGGTATTGCTCGGAAGATGGCGCATCCCCAGATTCTGCTAGATTTTCGCGGCTTTAACTTTCTCTTGAATTGTTTGTATGTTACTCTCTCTAGCCAGGTACAGTAGTCTTTGTGAAAGTCTCCTGCCTGAACCCCAAGATAGCACTGCGTATGGATTGATTGCGCCCAGGCCGCCACCCCCTTGAACCACACGGGAGGGAGCACCAGTACCTTGACTTCGGCGGCTCGACTGTTATGACGTTTGATACGGTACCTGATACGATACCATCCATGGTACACCATAACCATCCATGAGATTAGGTACACCACACTCACTTCAGTCCCCGCTAACCTACCCTGGGACAGGATAAATACATGGTACCTAATCAAGTAATCTGTGTACTTCTCCGCTACGTAGGTCAGACCTTCAGTGACTCGGATAAATGAGATAAAGAAATTTGGTCAGAACAAGAAGTCCGTCCATAGTTCATTAAACGCCTATTGTGTGTCAGTAATCTCGAAAATACGAGGATATGAATCTCACAACCATACCAGAATCAAGCAAGGTGACAAGGAAAGTACCTTACCTCTGCGTATTGATGGACCAAAGCGGGAGGCGCAAAGGGTTCCCCGATCACCCAAGCGGGCGGTAAATACGGCGCTGGTACCAGAGCAACTCAATCCAGCGGCCGAATCCTCGCAGTTCCGGGCAGGCGACCATCCAATCACATCACTTCCCTCCACACCTCCTGCTCTCCTCTGCATCAGTCCATCAAGTCCCGACTCCACTCTGCATCCTTTTCCCTTTCCCCCCCAAAAAATAATACTGTTCCTCAGTTGAGGTGAACGGCATCTCATCTGTCTATCTGTCTATACTCACTTGGCTGTCAATCCTTCTTCTCCGCCGTCCCTTTTTCCGTTCTGTCTCCTCTCAGTCTTTCTCTGTCTCTCCCCTTTCCATTTCAGGACCTTCTTTTTGTTTTCTTTTTCCTATTCCCTTTTTAGCTAATACAGTCACTCATTCAGCTCTCAGTCGTTCCCTTCTTTTTCCTTTTCTGTGAATTGTCTATTATATCAACTGCCTTCCGGCTGCCACTATACATACCGTCATTCATTTATCTTCCCTCTCGCATCCGTCGAGTTCTACTGTTCATATACCAGTACAAGTACCACACTCATCACCAGCTATCAGTCACTCTCTTTGTCCACGACACTCTCCAGGTTGCATCAGCCCTGTACATGCAGCAATCCTTGACAGTTGTTCCCATACCTCTTCGATGAATTGAAGATTTGCTCCGGTCTTGCAGCCATCACTTCTCTGCCGTCGACCCCATCAGACCATTGACACTTGCCCTGAGCATCCTAACTTTCACCAATTCCTCCGCCATGAACTACCTGCACCACCCATACGCCTTCGGCGGTCATAATGCGGTTCAGTTCGATCAATCCATAGCCTACGACCCTACCATGGCCCACCATGCTATGGTGCACCCCATGGATGGCTACCTATACCCTCACCCACCATACGAGATGGTTGACTACTACCATCAACCGATCATGGACTACGAAGAATACGCGGAGAATCTGTCCCGTCCGAGGTTGACCAAAGAACAAGTGGAGACGCTCGAGGCTCAATTTCAAGCCCACCCCAAGCCAAGCAGCAATGTGAAGCGTCAGTTGGCCGCTCAGACAAATCTGAGCTTGCCTCGAGTTGCTGTTAGTTCATCACTCAGGAAGAATGCAATATGAGACATGCGCTGACTCTGAACAGAATTGGTTCCAAAATCGACGAGCAAAAGCAAAGCAGCAAAAGAGACAAGAGGAGTTTGAGAGGATGCAGAAGGCCAAAGCAGAGGCCGAGGAAGCTGTTCGGAATAAGGCCGACAGTGCGGACGACACATCTGACTCGAACCAAAGCGACAAGACGACCAAGGAGGAGACCGATAAAGCCAACGACATCAAGAAATCGGAGTCGGGCGCATCGGGGGAACAAAAGAAGACCTCTACTTCCTCTCGGTCGAAGCATCATAAAACAAGGAGTGAGTCGGCTCGAGAGGCCACTTTCGCCTCGTTACAGAGAGCTCTCAACGCTGCTGTGGCGGCTCGTGAGCACTACGGCAGCGAGTGCGAGCAGGATCGAAATGACGACAACAGTGTTGGAGGATCTGTTTCCCCAGCGGCTTTTCCCCTGAGCGCTCGCGCCAATGACCATGATGACTCGGAAAGCGCCCACAGTGCTCTCAACACCCCTTTCTCAGCATGGGAGAGTGCCAAAGATTCTTCAGCATCCTGGACCTCCCAGAGCGCCCAGGAGCCCTTTGGATACACTGGCCTGGCCACGCCTTCATTTCCCACGACGGAAGTTTCACTGCAGCGCGTCAGTCAAGGTGAGGAATGGGCGAGCCAATTGGCCACCTCGGCCGAATCACTGCCCAGCCACCGTGCATCCATGGATGTTAGTTCCTCGTCTTACGGAACGATCCACTACTCTGTCAAGCCAGAGCTGTCAAGGCGCGAGTCGTCCGAAGAGCTTGCCAGCACCCTGCAGGGCATTGGAATCGACACTAGTGGCTCGCCTCACGGCTTGTCGCAGCTGACTGGCCGGTCTTCATGGAAAGACGCTGGGAAGGAGCTCGACCTTGCTGCGCGGAGAAAGCGACCCAGGCCGGCGGCTATCGGCACGTCGCGATCCAGCTCGATGCTGGCCGGGTCGTCTGCCATGTCACCGACCATGCGCCTGCCGAACGGCGCTGGTCACGGGGTGAGACAGTCCAAATCCGCACAGAGTCTCGGCTCGCGGTACGCTGGTGTCCGAAAAGCGTCGGCCGCTCAGCGGTCGCCTTTCAACTTGGCAACCTTTGCCGAAGGGGGCAGTTTGAATAGCAAGACCGAGATGTCTAGCATGCTGCAACCTGCTGTCACCACTGGTGCGTTGGCTCCACCGACGCCACTGACTCCGGAGGACCTTCACCACTTGCTTCCAGCCACTCCGTCTGACGGGGGGTACTGCCTGTCGGCGCAACCGACCAGCCACCTGTTCCCCACGTCTCAGCCCATGCAGATCAACATCGCGTCTCCTCCGGCTACTCCGCTTGCGGTGGACATGATGTCGTCGTATTCCTACCAGGGCGTCGCTCCGCCAATGTCCGCCCCTGCCCACTACACGACCTTTCCAGAGTATTCTTCTTGTGACGGGGCCCCTTTGACGGGCCGGAGCTGGGCCGACGCTACATCAATGCCTCCGTCCGAGCATTCATTTGCTGCACGCTGCCAGATGGAGATGCCGTCTGTGTCTTACGAGCAGGCTGTCGATCCGACTGGCGCGAGTGCGGATATCGGGATGTTCTCAACCAAAGATATCGCTATGCACATGTCGACAGGAGCGCCGGTCGAGGACACGAGACCCACTGAGTTTCAAATCCAAGAGTTTCCTGAGCAGCAAGAGATCCACCGATTCGTTGCTCAGCAGCTTCCATCGCACAAACCCAAGGCCTACACATTCGCCGCCAATTCTACGCCACACAATTTTCAGAACTGAGCGGACCATCTTCTGAATTTTTCTGTTTCAATATTGATATCCACATGGAGCTTTACATACCTTGGGCCTATTGTTTATACTCGGAGCATTTCTGTGCATTATACTGCTGGTGTCTTGGGCTCTTCATTTCATTGTCTATTGAGCTTAGGGCTCGCTTTTTCTGTCGATATGTTTGGACTTGCATCTGTTTGGAAGCGACTGGTTATACATACTTGGAGGACTATGACTACTACCTTACAATCTTTACCCTAATACATAATACGACGAGGTTCACTCACACGTTCACATCAACTTTAGTAACTGTACCGTAGGATCATGTCCACAATGTCCACAGACACACTTAGCCTTCCATATCTAGACTAACCTCCGACTTCTCCGACTGTCGAATCCACAGCAATAAATAAACCACCAATGGTGCTTGTATGCACGAGAATGCCTCCATACCCCGACCTCTATCCACATAGGCTAGTGACGCACGTGCCGGAGTGGTAGGCACAGAACTTCAGCAATGCCTGAGGCCGCGCACTGGCAAACAGCCGATAATAATTATTCATTAATCTAGCTTCTGATACTGTTGACCGGTCATGCTTAGAGTATAAAAATGGGCGACGATCGCCTGTACATCTGCATCTGCATCTGCATCAGCGTCTGAATCGCAAACGCGAATCGCAAGATGAAGTGCGCATTGAGTCTCGTCGCTCTCGGCCTCGCCGCGACGGCGCAAGCAGCTTACTACGAGTACACCACGGTGACGGGGTACTTCCTGCAAGATGAGGCCAGCACCAACCCATCCACCTTTGACTACGTATGTATCCCCACACCCCGTCAAGCTACCCGAACTTAGTTCAACTGACGATTCCGGGACAGACAGCCAACAACTTCGGCCTGATCAACCGCACCTACGATGCGGACGAGAACACCAAACTCACGCAATGGCAGCGCTTCTACAATCACGTCCACGAGCTCAACAAGAACGCCCCCCACAAGACAGAGTACAAGGTTTTCTTCTTCGGCCGCCACGGCGAGGGCTGGCATAATGCCGCCGAGAGCTTCTATGGCACTCCTGCTTGGAACGTACGTTCCCCTCGCCTTCTCCCTTCCAGGAAGAAACTGATGAAGTAAAGTGCTACTGGTCCCTCCTCGACGGCAACGGCACCGCAACCTGGGCCGACGCAGACCTGACCCCCGCAGGAGTCGCACAAGCCCAAAAAGCCCACAACTTCTGGGCCTCGCTGATTGCCAGGGAGGGAATACACACGCCCGACGCGTACTTTGTCAGCCCGCTGACGCGCGCGCTGCGCACGGCGAACATCACGTTCAGTGCGCTGGACTTACCCAAGAAAGCTGCGGCGTTTAAGCCATTGGTGATGGAGACGCTGCGCGAGGGGATAAGTCTACATACGTGCGACCACCGGCGGAGTCGATCGTATATCAGCAAATTATTCCCCGGGTGGGAGATTGAAGAGGGGTTCAGCGAGGAGGACGAGCTGTGGAATGGGGTGACTGCGGAGACGAGTGCGGCGGAGGACGTGCGGAGCAAGAGCGCGCTGGATAAGATGTTTGAGCGGACAGATCCCAAGGATCTGTTTGTGAGTGTGACGGCGCATTCTGGGGAGATCGGCAGTCTGCTGCGTGTGCTTGGGCATCGGGCGTTCTCGCTTAACACGGGCGCGGTGATTCCTGTGCTGGTCAAGGCAACGAAGTTCTCGGATAAGTGCGCGCCTGCGCCGACCAAGGTCCCCTGGACTACTTCGGCACATTGTACGGCGCCGCCGGTTACGTCGGTCACGGCGTGTGTGTGTGCGTCGTCTGCTGCGCCGGTCACGACGCCTTTGGCCACGGGGTTTTAAACTGGGATTAGGAGTGGTGATCAGTGACTACAAGGATAAGATGTAATATGTTAATCATGTAATTGCTACATTCGCTCCTTCCTACAAACACTCGCGTGGGGCAGTAGATCAAATTGGTTCCCCGGCTATAGACACAACAATCATCGCAGGGACCGGTAATGCCGAAGGAGAGATGACACCGACAAGTCAATAGGCACAGGTGCATAGAGTAGAGTGGACATGACATGAAATTCATGCATAGCAAAGAAGAATGAAGCAGGCAAGAAGAGACGCAACCGAAGAGAGAAGTGCAACTCATACAACCACCAGTCCATCTATGAGAAACATCGAAGCACAAGATCCATGCCACATGCAAATGAACCTCTTCACCCCAAGAGAAAACACCCAGAGAATTTGCATAGAAAACGCAAGACTAGATACACAACGCAATCGGGTATAACGGCGGGTATAAAAACGGAAATGCGCAGATTATCATTAAATAAGATTCCAGGCCGGAAAAAAGATGGGAGAAATGATTGATCAAATGACCAACAGTAACAACTTCGCCGGCGCCTCGTGTCCATGAACGCCAAGTCTGCAAAACGCCCGGCCATGAATATATCGCCCTTGCCACTGTCGTTCCTCGGGTGCATTCTTTCGAAATTGTGCTTATGTTCTTCTCTTAACTAGTAACCCGACCACCCTCCTAGGGGAGTTCCGCCTTGGCCGGGCTGTGGGTGACCCGGCTGCATCGGCCCACCGGGAGTAGATGGCCAGCCAGGCATGGCACCCGCGGGGTTCATCCCCATGGCCAATCCCGCCTGCTGAGGGTTTCCAGCCATAAAGGGTTGACCTCCGGGTCCTTGCGTAGAGGGATACAAGCCTCTGGCGGCTGCGACAGCATACGGACTGGCGGCCCCTCCTGGGTAGCCCATGGACGCCATGGCTTGTTGCTGCGGCGCCTGCGGATGATGGAGCTGGTACGCCTGCTGCATCTGACCCACAGACGGGCGGTGTTGCGTGCGAGGTGACTGCGAGGGGTGATGCTGACCCTGAACAGCGTGGGCCATGGGCGAGGGAGATTGCTGTGGGGCGTGCATTTGGGCCGCATACTGTGGCATCCCAGCCCCTTGCGGGCCACCGGCGGACATGGGGGATTGTTGCGGCGGCGGAGGTGGCTGACCCCACATTTGCTGCTGTTGCGCCGGGTACCCATACGGCCCGGTTGGTTGCGGTGTGCCGCCGGACAAGGCAGGGTTCGAGCGCTGATGCATCAGGTTGGGCCGAACCGCGGGCATGGGCTGGATGGGAGACTGCGCAATAGGGCCCTGCTGGTGTCCCGTGGGCGCTTGGAAGGCGGCCTGACCGGCCATCATCGGCGCCTGGTTGGGAAGTATCGCCTGCGGCTGCGTCGAGCTGATCAAGCCAGTCGACGCCATCTGAGGCGATTGCAAGGGCTGGGAGACCGACGCGGTAGCGTCCAACTGCCCGGGTTGCGACAGATCTGCAGTCTCGGGGATCTCACGCTGTCTGGAGTAAAACTCCTCTAGGCCCTTCTGGCGGAAACTGCGCTGGTTACTCAGAATCTTGTTGAAGTCGGCCGTGTGCGAGGCGTGGTTGAGAATTTCAGCAGCCGAGCTGGGCTGCGACCGGTCTTGGTACGGCTGGCCCGTGATCTCCTGGCGTGAACGGGGCATACTGTTGTATTCCCTCAGCCGAGGATCGTCGGTGGTGGTGGTCATGTGGATCATCGGCAGAGAAGAAAGCGAGGTCGAGGACGGGCCCCCAACCGGCAAGCCCTGAGGCATGGTCTCGAGCGCATTGCTGTAGATGACGTCGCCATGGGTGAGAGTCGGCAACAGGTTGGCAGCATTGGCTGCCTCTGCGGCGGCGGCATCTCGAGCCTTGCCGGCCCCCGGTCGTTTTTCACCAGCCAGGTCATCCTCAGTGAAACCCTGCTTTCGCGCCTTGCTTTCCCAGTAATCGTCACGCACACGCCGTCCATTCACGATGACCCTGCTGCCGAACTGACGAAAGATCGACTTGGCCGAGACGATGGCAATCTGGCGCGATCGATACGAGTACGGCAGAACGTCCTGCTGAATCAGGTCGTCTTTTTCGATTTGCGACGCGATGATCTTGTGCAGAGACCGGTTCTTGTTGAACAGCAGGTACGAATCCCGATACCCAAGCACCCGTGCACATTCGGTCGCCAGCATGAACAGCTTGTTTCCACGGAGCGGCACACGGAACGTGCGACATTTGAACTCGCGGCCGCCTTGGGGGTAACCCATGGCGTCCACCTTCTTCTCGCCAGCCTCATCAAACTCCTTGGGGATATACTCATCACCTTCTTCGTTGAGCTGGTCGGTGGTGTGATCTCTGACCGTGGGGAGCGCCTTCACTACAGCGGCTTTGGTGGGGGTAGCCTTTTCCGKGGGAGAGGCCTGCGGCGGTGACACGTTCGCACTGGCCTGCTGTGGAAGCGACTGCGACTGCATTCGGGGAGTCTGCGCGCTCGCACTCCCAGGCGATTGTTGACTCTGACTGTCGTTGGGCCGTTGCGTCTTGGGGGGACGTCCTCGTTTTCGCCGACCCTGTTCATCTATTTACGATAAAAAGTTTAGCATCAGGATCACCAAGAGATGGGTGAATGTAAAACAGAGAGAAGGCGACGAAGCGGCTCGACAGTCTCGCACGGCACCTTGACCGTGGAAGATGGCGACGCGCACATACCGTCATCATGGTCACCATCCGCGCGCGAGTTTGCGCGTTGATCGGGGGTGCGACTGCGCTTGATGCCACGAGGGGGATTTAGGCCTGCGGGGGTAGCTATTGATGTTGGACCTGCTGGCGCTGTGTCTCCCAAGGAAGGTGTGGGAAGAACAGCGGCGACTAGCAAAAGGCCGTCAGTTGGAGGCTGTCGCAAAGGACGAAGCAAAAATAAACCACGACCTCCGTGATAAGCAACAGTGGGTTCGCTCAAAGATCATGATATGCGAGAGATAAGACGTAGGGAGGCTGACAGATAGAAAGGGATGGCATACCGGAATTATTCAGAGCAGCAGGATTGATGGTTCCCGACCCATCGACAAGCTCGCCTCCGATGCCATTCATCGGGGCGGGGACGGAAGTGTGGGATGTGCCATACATGGCGGGCCAAGGAAGGACGGGGGAAGGCAAAGTTTGAGACGGCCGTCAGCAGGGCCGTGGGCGCGTCAGCGAAACGCGAGAGAGAGGTGTTGAGAACCCCAGTGACGGGACAGGATGGGCGGAAGTGAGTTGGCAAGCGCAGCTGCAGTGGGATGGCAAGAAAGGAAGAAGGAGAGACTGCCACGACACAAGTTGATCCTTGACTGGGATGCGAGAGATCACGACGCGCATGCAGTTGATGATGGAATCATGGACTGGATTGGGGAGGGGAAGCAGTTAGTTCAGTTTTGGTTGGTGGTCGGTGATCACAGTGGCAGTGGGTTAGTGGCCAGTGGTGTGTGGCAGAGAGAGGCAGCGGGATCAGCAGGAAAAGGTTGCAGATTCGGATGTTACAGGTTATGTAAGGTATTGGTACTGAGAGTACCTGTTGATATGGTGCAGTTGGCAAAGAAAATGAGAGAGAGGAGCAGGTATGACAGAGGTAAGGTAAGGTAAGAGGGAAAAAGGCAAGGCGGTGAACTGACTCGGAAACAGAACTGTGGCTGGAGAGAACCGCCACAGGAGGCTGATCAGGCAGGAAACTGGGTCCTCCCAAGGTTCCTTGCCTGCAGAAAAGCGGCGGCACCCAGTCAAGCGCCAGGGAAACACGATAAGGTGGCCCAGGATATCCGGGTTAAGCTTGCCTTGGAAAGGGAAAAACAAAGCCGATGCAATAAGAAATAGCTAGCGGTAGTAAATAGTCTGTTTGATAGGGAGAGAACGCGCGCCACCAGCCGATGGAATCAATCAGTGGGTACACGAAACAACAGACAGTGTGACGATAAACTGCCTGGGTGCATGAGAGAGAAGTAGGTAGGGAGTAGAGGGTATGTGTATTGTATCGTGTATTATTCAAGAATATGTGCAGCGAACGCAATAGACGAGGATTAAATGCCGTGATGAATAGATAGACGGACAGATTGATCGATACAAGCTCGATAAGGTAGGTTATCCTGGCGGAAATAATACGTACCTCAAAGCACAAGCCAGACAACGCGGTGCACCTTCGCGGCTGGAGTGGGGAAGAAAGTAAGGTAAGCACAAGAGACGCAAAGTTTACCCAGCAGGATCCGATGTGATGAAGGAATAATAATGATTTAGGAATAATTTCTGATTTCTGCCTGGGTGTATGGACAGCATCAATGTATGGAGAAGGGGGAGGGGTAAGTTATGTCCATGTCCGTATCTCAGACACAAATTGGGCCAGTTGACCAACGGTGGAGGGGGCACCTGGGCGGGAGGGCGGCGCCACACGGCCCCTGATTGGCGGCTGGCCCTCGGACCACAATCCAACCGGGTGAATCCGTGATCACTGCAAACAGGAAGATGCAAGTTGCAACAATAAATAGGTATGGAATTACCTCAGTGATCTCGGGAAACCATTTATCAAAGTAACCTGATATAATACTATCTCTGATGAAGGAGAAGATGATGAAGATGATGATGATGATGACGACAGTGGAGAACGTATTCGACTAAACTCACGTCAAGTTGCTCTCTCGCGAGCCCATGCGAACAATGAGCAATGTAACCAGGCTAGAATTTCTCGGATAGCGCGGACAGATTTACCTGAGCCATGAGACGAAACACTACTTAGGTTGAAGAGACAAGGCCTTTCTTGTAAGATCCTACCAATTGAATCCTTGAAACGCTTCTGCAGTCTAGCTATAGTCAAGGGTACTGTGCAGTAGTCTGCCGCCAGCAAGATTACGAAGCATCAAGCGATATGGACTCAAGAGCGAATCAGGATCAACATGAATCACTAGTCACAAGATATCCGATATCAGGGTAGTATCTTGGTATCTTCAGATCCCAGAGCATTTGCCTAATAATAGCCGAGACATTATGCGACGGACAGTACAATTCTCCGTACACTTCAGAAACAGCAGGCAAATCCAGTCCCTGAGCTGAATAGGAGGAATAGGGAGATAGTCGCTCGAGTTGGCATCTTAGAATTTACCTGAAGTACTTCAGTCACTAGTGCTATGATTCCAAATGATGCCGTCAAAGTATGTTGACAAATCAGCTCAAGAATGTCGGCAATCCTATTGTCCTTATCTGATGGGCGGATCCATTGTCAATAGTCCCAGATCTCTGATCACTGAATGCAACTCAAAGCCCAATAGCCAGTACTTTGTGGAGTAGCAGCCGAGTGAGCCCGGATAATACCCCCGAAGAGTGAGTACAAGTACAATAAGATAGTATTCTAGCCGACAACCGATCGTCAGCATGGATGAAATATTTTATGGCGTCATTCTGTGCTCGCGGAAGATCTCGCGCCTTTCCATTTCAGGCCCAATCACAAGACAATGCTGCGCATTTGCTCCAGGTTTGAGAACTGATTCATCTCTATCCCATCTCCTTCACTGTTCCCTCGCTATCAGCCCCAGGTGCTTTTTTGAGTATGGCGTACTTAATACCGCCAGAGAAAATAGACGGCATAAAATCTACCAGCGGTACGAGGCAAAGAATAGAGTTGAGGGCGTGCAACTCAATGTAGCAGCGTCTAACGGACATGCAGCGTATAGTTGCACATCCCCAGTGCTACCTAAGCTTTGGTGATCTCTTCCATCCTATCAGCCACTCGGCTCCCGACCCTGATACATTCCTGACTCGCCTCGTGGGCTATCAAATCAAGTATCCAGAGCACTGCCCGCGTCAATCCCGGTCCAGGCATCCTAGAGGGGCAGATGACCTGCGAAATTATCCGCATTAGACTTTTGGTGTAGTCTTGTAGAGGGTCACTTGAGCGGGAACTAGAGGCGATCAGGGCCGTGCACGCATACTCACATTCCAGACTTGTCTCACCTTGATCGACAGTTGTGCAACCTGCTGTTTGCCTCTTCTCTCTGAATAGACGGTCATCGTTCGATAGTCTCGTCATCATGGAGCTTCAACTGTTCGCTGAGAGGCGATAATGATGGAATTTCACTAGCGTGCCGATCCTCTCGGATGCCTCCTGCTCGGGCGAGTGGTATCCCCAGTGGCGTAGATGAAAGATCTCGCTCTGGAAATCGCGCGGATAATGCGAGACAGACATGCAAGCCATTAGACAAGAGATCTAACCTGGCCGTTTTCGTGCGGTTGGTGACTCATGTTCTTCCAATCAGGATCGAGAGCCCGTACTGATTCATCTAGACAACTCGAGCCATTCGTCGGATGAAATCTGGCGGATGGATCGACTAGCCTCACATCCCAGAAGGTAAATACAAGCACCCCGTAGCAGTATCAAAAAGTAAATATCGCCATAGCCACGGACAGTGGTCGACGCTAGCACGACTTGTCATCTCTCATTTGATAGGAATGAAGTCCTTGCATCAAGTAGCAAGATAGTTCGCTTGGAATACACACCACCCACAGTGCTGGCAACTATTCCAGAGTAAACTGACGGCGGTGGCTGCAGAAGTGCCTTGTTGTATGCTATTGCCAGGGAAAGGAACCCCCTGAGAGCCAAGGAGTAAATGACTGCTCTTGAGGAGTGAAGTCAGCGTATTGCAACAGGTATGATTCAGTGAACCAATCAGTATGGGTAAACCTACCTACTTGATTCCTGCCAGAGCTGTTGCCTTGCGCATTGGCTAGCTGAGTCAACCAGTGACCATACCGCCGAGTACGCGGCCAAGTTGCCTGCCACAGCAAAGCCTGGCATCGGCTGCAGACTGAGAAATCCCACAGTTGGCCTGATTCAGAAGTTGTCCGTTGAATGGCACTCCATGTGTTACTCACTATGGGAACTTCACCAACTGTACGAAGCCTGGCACTCGATTAAAAACGTCTTTTTAGGCTAGAGAGACTCGCAACAAGATTCAATTGAGCACCAGTAACTCTGCGATAACAACCCTTCCTCAATGCAATATATCACCGCTATTTTCAGTTTTGTGGCCAACCTTACCTAGAACCAACCACAGTTCATTCATAATATCAATTGGTTTGGGAAAGTGGGTTGATTCGCAAATAGACTCACAGCCAAGATGCGGCCCAAACTTTATTTGCGTTCGTAGAGAGGTATCCATATTGATACTGATAGCTCCTCTATCTTATCTTGATGGGTGGCCTCTGGTTGAGTCCCGTCCGAAAAGCGAGTACCAGGCTTTTAATTGGGAACCATTGATGGACTTCATGCTATGATGATTCATGACAGATGTGGCGAGGGCTTTGGGCGTGAGACACCTATCCATTGCCTGTCTTTTGACTCTTGCCATAATGTATGACTATATGATTCGATCGATCAACTTGAATGCGAATTACTAAGGTAGATAACAGTTGGAGTACGGAGTACGTACCTCTCTCCAGATTCAACGGGACTCATTGTTCTCAAGTCCATGACTAATGACTACAGAACCTTTCCGCAAGGAAACCCTAACTACCTGGGTCTTAGGGCTTTGGATCCGACAACACTCCGAGTGCTAAAATTCGATATTCGCTTCCTGACAGAATCGAATTTTTTATTTTGTATTATTATTTTTCTTTTTGGAAGGTAATAACTACAGGAACTGTTGATAAGAAAACTTGCCTTATGCAGAAATTATGTTGCTTAGACGATGCTATAATAGGCAATTCGGTCTATGCGCTGATGGAAGAGGATAACCCCACAAAATACAGCCAATAATCACGTAGTTCTCGCTACCCCACTAGGTGTACGTACCTTACTTTAGGGGTCCGCTGGAAAAACCCACACAGTCCACAGTTGATTTCTAAACAGACGCAAATAGAACAATTAATCAATAAAACCATTTAATCAATCATTCATGCTCTGCAAATATGTCCAAATCAAATTACCCTGATTACCCTGTACGCATATTACGAGTAAGGAACATCAGTACTCCGCATTCGACCACGCCAATTTAACTGCATAACAGGTTTGGTTTTCCTTGCAGTTGCAGGGGGCCAGAGGTCCAGATGCCCAGACCTGCTGAATCCTAGCTATCTGACTGGTTGCTGGGCGATGGACTAAAGGTTCCATGGATGGCCGAGCCCTTGCAGACCCACTGGCTGGTCAGCTGCCAAACTTGATTTTGCGGTGGAGAAGAGCGCCTAGAGAAGAGCGTCTCCGGTGTTCGAGAAGAAAAGCCTCTCCCGGGTAACCGCTGAGAGCTGGTCACGCAATTTGGTTTTGACTCACTAGGACAATTGAACAGCATGAAAAATAGTAATTGTGGAACAATAATCAAAATATTAGCATATCACAGTAATGTCAATGACCATTATATTCTAATATAATGACTAGATTATCAAGAGGATACTGTGACTCTTGGTGATAAGTGGTCTAGACTCTAGGATCACCCACACGCAGAATTTGCTTGCCTTAGTCCCTTTGTTAGTCCGCCCAGCTTAGATAGTTGGTTCCCGGCTTGACTGTTTTGGGTCTCCCGTCCCAGTGTATAAATCTTTGTCCCTCCAGCACTCCTCCCCCTCGGCTTGCCCCCTCGACTCTCTCTGTCTGTTTCTCTCACTCTTCCCCTCCGCTGGTGTCTCTCTCCAGACCACTCTATCCTCCTCAAAAGCTCTCAAGTGTGTCACTATCGTGATTCACCATCTTCCCAATTAGGACCATCGCCATTGCCACTCCTCCAATGACATCACCTGATTTGTTACTCTGACGCGTATCGCCATACGCTCGACATCATCCCGGCCGGGAAATTAAGGAATCATCATACGATTCCCTTCTATATCATATTTGACCTGAACATCTACTCTCCATCCGCCTCAATCATCAATCATCTAGTCAAGAATACAAATGGCTGTCACCCTATCAACCACTCCCTCCATGAACAAGCGCTGGCCCCCTCTGGCCGACAAGACCTCTCTCCCCTACAAGCTCACCACCCTCTCGAAGCAAAAACTCGCCCGCGAGGCTACGGCCCCCGACCCGGATATCAGACGATGCCTCGGCCACTTTCGCCTCCACTGCACGTCCATGGAATGGGCCCAGCGGGATATGACCTCTCGCATCAACTCGTTTGACCTCGATTCCGACTCGGAGGACGAGGAAGAGACACATGACGATGAGGTCCCAGAGGAGCTTGCACCGGAGGTGGTGGAGCCTCCTGTCGAGAAGGACAACACCATTATCATCACTGAATCCTCCGCTAAAGAGGAGACGACGCTCCATGTGAGCTTTGAAGTCGTATCAGACGTCCCTGCGTCTGCTCCTCCTCCCTCCACATCAACAACAGAACAAGAAAAAGAGAGCCTCCTAGAAAAAGGCCGCAGTTGTCTGGAAAAGACTGTCCAGATGAAACATTTTTGGCCCGCCCGTGGGCCCTGTTTACCTGTTCGCATCGCCGGGTAACCGGTTCTCAGTCATCCTCACGCATTTCACACTCTACTCTTTCGACACCGACGAACAGGAAACAAAAGTTCCTCCCCTCATCTCCCATTCTTAATACACTTATAATCACGAAGTTACGACGTTACGACATTCTTTCAGTTCAAAAACGGGGAAGCAGGCAAGCATAGGACAGCATACCTCTTGACGAGGATCTGACGGAGTTGGAGCGGGTTTCTGTATCTATTACGCCATGTGTCACTGGCAATCTATCTTACAGTATATATAATAATATGAAAATCATAAACCAACAAGACTGGCTCCCTTTCTTTCACGTACAACTTCAAGCCCAAGTCGACTCAAACCAGTCATACTCCGTAGTCCGTACTCATCCGAATACCCGGGGTCCATCCCAGCCAAGAACCTAGTCGTCAGCTCCTGAAAGCCTGAAAGCAATCACCCAATAATCTCATGATCTCGTCTCCCATCAGGTTCCGAACAAGTCCACTACTCCACAGATCAGCATCGCCATCGTCCTCCAAGCCTCCGACCTCCACAATCCGGATTGCGGACTGCGATTTTCGTTTCGTTTCGTCCCATGTGGGGTCATGAATCCTGAGACCTGACGCCTCACTCTCTGTCAAGTCGTGAGGGTCTCAGGGACCTATCATTGTGCATGCTGGGCGCCTAATTGAGGTTTCTCGGTTGGACCATTTCATGATTGATTATGCTGGGGGTAAAAGTACTGTACTTGTGGTGACCACTGATGTACATGGATGACTTGTCATTCTTTCACTGTACTTCTACTTGTAATTGCATTGAATAGACGAAATGCAAGTGACTAGCATATACAACACCCATACCATGCAGCCTGCCAGGCGCCGAAGAATGACGAACGCCGAATGCACCGAAGAACGAGGAGAACGCCGCCGCAAAACTATCAACAAGAAAACAAATCATGCAAGATCGTCATCCCATCCCAATTGCTCATAAATAGATTTCTCCGGCGTCACAGGCACCGCCGAGACGACCGGCACAGCCAGTCTGGCGCTACCCTTAACTGGTGTGGTGAGCACGGCTGCGGGGGAGGCAGCAGGCATGCTCTCGTGGATGACAGGGGGTGGCCTCGGCGGTGTCTCCATCACCGTAGATGATTTGATGCCGATGACCTGATCGGCGGACCGCGGTGCAATCGGCGTGGAGGGCGCGACGTCGGCGGATTTAGGGATCGGGCGTCGCGGAACACGGAACAGGTTCTTCGCTACGCCCGGGGATGCGTCGTCTGCCGCGGTGTCCATCAGTCCCAAAGACTGCGCCGGCCGCCGAGAAGGTGTTTCCTGGATGGCACCCGTATCCCCCGAACCGAAACCAGAAGCAGTCCTGGACTCAGAGGCTGGAGTATTGGAGATGAAGCTGGGCCGGAGCGTAGATGCCGGAACCACCTGTGGCTCACTCGCAAATGGCGAGGATCCGTTCTTACTTGCCGACGACCGCACGATATTCTTGAATGGCGGAGGCAAGCCCGTAACAGCGTCCTTCTTGCGGTTCCCCTTCGGGGTGGCCATGACCTGCACGCCTTGCCCGAACGGGTTGCGCACTGGGTTCTTGGGTTTCCTCGAGCTGCCGCCCGATGCCCGCTTGACTGCATCCTCTGCGATATCCTTCGCGACCAGTTCGCGATTGGGCTTGCGGAGTGCATTGATCGCCGCGTCGAGCTCCTTCTTCTGCTCCATCAGCATTTGCACCTTCTTCAACTTGGCTTCGTGCTGACGAGCGACCGCGTTCAGATCCACTTCGCGGTTTTCCGCCCGTTTCGGCTTCTGGATACCTCCTCTTGCACTGACGCTGAGCACCGGCAGCAGCGGCTCCATCGACTCGCGCTTGGCCTCTGATTGCGACGGCACAGTGTTGGATCGTCCCAGAGAAGGGGGTCGTCCTTGAGAGGTCGTTTGCTGGTCGGTGAGCACCCGCTGCAAGGATCGACGCGGATTTCTCTGAGAAGACTGCCGCTCAGTAGGCTTCCCAGGCTCTGTGCGAGATGTCTTCTTTGTGCTGCCGGATTGTTTCGCCAACGGCGATATCGCCCCAGAGACACCGAGCTTGCGGGTGATCAGCTTGCATCTGTCCGGCAGACGTGAAGCATAAAATGGAACGATGACCTCGGTGCAAAAGTCCCGGACGGCATCGCTCTCGATCTTCTTACCCGTTTGACTGTCGAAGGATTTTGCGGACTCTGCCAATGCTGTGTCATCGGTACTGACCGCATGCCAAATGCACAGTCGGTCAAGGTGCAGTTCGAGCAACACATCCAAATCCTGTGGCTTTTTCTTGGATTTGGTCCTGGTATCGTCCGACAGCTTTTCGGGAGAACCGTCCGTCTTTGATGTCTCCCCAGGGCCGCTCATCTCCAAGGCCAACGTCTCCAAAATGAGCAGAATCTGCAACTGTGTCTCTCGTAGTCGTAGGTCTGCGATATGCTTCTTCAGCTCTGCGTCGTGCGACGACTCTGCAGGAACCCCATTGTCCGCCAGAGCGCGATCTCTCCACCACTTGCGAATGAACCCCTCCTCTTCTGGGTAGAGTCCATTTTTGCCCAATTTTCGTTTCCTGCTCTTGCGTTTCTTCCGCGCGTCATCATCGGACGTACTCAAAAGAACATCTCGGATGGTCGAAGGCAGCGTTTCACGATATTTCAGATCCATCTTCTTTGCGGCCAGAATAGACTCTCGGTAGAAGTCTGCAAGATGTCGCGGTGTATTTGTAGAATCCGACCCCGACGCTTGGAAGGCAGCGCGGCATCGTGCCAGAGGTCCTTTGGCAAAATATGCCACAGAAGTCTGGGTAAATTAGCACATAGACCACAAATACAACAGAGATACAAACCTTGGAGATGTAGAGAGCTTGCAGGTAATGCTCTCTCATAGCATCCAGCAGCTCTTGTGGACATTGCGCGGGATCAGCGGGCTGAGTGGCCCCGTGAGCAGCAACGTCCCCGAATACAGCGCCATCAGCATCCCGAGAATCGTGCAGCACGAACGGCATCTGCATATCCGAGCTCGAACTCCTCTCCATTGGCAGCGCAGGAGGAGCCATTGAGGGCCTTTGCTCAAGCGAATCCACTGGCGATATCTCTTTCAATGTCACGCTAACGCTAGCATCAACTGCCGCCTTATTAAAGACAAGCGAGACATCGAACTTTGCGCGCTTAGCAGATGGCGGAGTAACGGATGCTGCATCATCGATTTTGGCCTGCTGCCACCATTCCTCTCCACTCTCTGCTCCCAACGAGAGGTCGGACTGAATCCCCTCGCCGGACCTGGTAGAAGGGTTCCATCCCTTGACCGCAACAAAGATATCTCCCTCCTCCACACTACGAGCCAGCTTCGACAGAGCATAGATACCCCTCTTCACCCGCTCAACAGCGTACAATTCCCCGTCAGGGATCAACCGCACAGCAAGAACGCATGGCTCAGTCCGACTCTGCAAACCGTCCTCCAAAAGAGGAATGTTAGCGACGAACAAGCTTCCGCTCTGGATCTGCGACAATGCAGCTGGCGAATCGAGCCATGAGAACGGTAGCCGGGATCGCGGGACGACAGCGATAGGTTCAAGGACGTAGGGTTCGTCTGATAAAGCTGCGGCGTGTGCCTACATCGGAGACAGTTAACGAACGTCATGCTTCTGTAGCTGCTGTGGAAATGGTGGAACTCACCCTGATACTGATGGTCTGGCGGGAGAGTTCCCCTGTAGCTGCGTGATATGTCTTCCGCTTCTTCAAGGGAGGATGAGTCGTAGAGGGATCATGGAGTCTGTTCAGCGAGAAAGAGCTGAGGGTTTCGAGCACGCCGGAGGAGCGACGCGAGGCCATGGACGCGTCTATCGGGAATCATGCATTATGTTCTTGACCTTAAGAGGAGGATGGTCTTGTTAGAGTAGATATGGGCAGATATGAGCAGTCAATGAATTCAACAGTACAGAGAACAACTGAAACAATTGGCGATTTGCTGTTTGGTGAGGAATGATAGAAATGGGTCTACCTTTGCCTGGTGGGGAAGCTCTTTCACAGTTGTCGCGATTCGCGAAGCCAAGCTTGGCGTCCGTCACGCGTCTCGTTGCAGCGACAACAACCAGAATGTCTTCGAGTCTGCTTGATTACGAGCATGTCGAGGACAGGATAATGATGTGAAAAGAATCATTGCTTGTCTTATGCTGTCTTCTTGTCTTGCTATCTTAAATTGCGAATTATCCACCTCGCGGAGTGCAATGGCTCCACGCGTCACAATTTCCACTTTGGGTAAAATGACAGATCTTCTACATCTTAACTTTTAGACATGTGGACTACAAACAAGATATGAATAAATGTATCCATGAATTATTCTATATAGCTAATGTTTAGATTAGCTCGAGACAACGGTTGAAGAAGACCAAGCTCCTTTCAACTGGCCACCGACGTTTCTCCTTCGAGGAGACATCATCCGGGCACATGGATCCATGTGCCAATCTGATCTAGCCAGATAGCGCTCGTCGTCTAGTAGACGGCCTCGGAGGAGGCATGTGTTGAAGACTTTCCGCTCCCTGAAACGCCGAAAACATCCCTTCCCAATAGATGAAAGTGGTATCATGTTGAATTTATCCTCGCCCAAACCAGCCTCCTTTTGCAGGCGACCATGCAGATATATCATTAAAGAAAAAGGTCCAAAAGAAAGAAAAGGCTTTTTCGAAATATGTCTATGCTCTCATGCTTTGAGTTGTTGAAAACAAAGCAAATTCATCACATTCGTCAAAAAACAAAAGCCAACAAGTTCTACGCGGTCACTCAGGACGCGTTTAGAACTTGAGAGCCTTGGGCTTCTCCCAGGGGAAGCTCTGGTTGGTGAAGTGACCGTTCTTGGCGGTCTGGAAGTAGATGGGCTTGGCAAGGTCGAGCTCCTTGACAATGACACCAGGGCGGAGATCGAAGTTCTTGCGGATGATCTCGACGAGCTCATCCGAGGACTTCTCGGAGGTACCGTAGGTCTCGACGA